TCGATCTCTATTCGACCTCGGCTCTCGATCGATATCCCTTTTAATCCTATCCATGATCCTGATAGGATAAACGGACCCCTAAGGAGTCCCTAGTTGATCGTCTTCGACCCTAATCTTCGACATACCAATTATGTACTTCGGCCCAAGTGACAGCCGGGTACTTGATTAAACTTTGCTTCAACTGTTGTGCTGCTATGGAACTCCGATTGTTGAGACCTTGAGTGAAAGCTTGAACAGTCCAGTCACTGGTGACCAGAGGCAAATCCATTCTCTCCGCTTGGAATCGGATACTAATTCCCTGGGTATCTCGTTATTTTTCTGCCTTATCTTGAAAAGGTCTGACTTTCTTATTGCGATTTTAATGGCTCCGGCGTGTGCCTTTACAAAAGAATCTGCAAGAATAGCAAACGAATCAATAGAATTCGGGGGTAAGTTACGATACCATATTAAGGCACCCTTCGATAGAGTCTCCCCGAACTTCTTCAGCAGTACAGACTCGATTACATCGTCTTCCAAGTCGTTTCCCTTCATGGCGCATGTGTAAGAAGTAACGTGTTCATTTGGGTCAGAGGCTACGTTGTATTTAGGTATATCGGGAATACATAACTTCTTTGGGATGGGCTTCGGAGCCGCACTCGGAGGGAACGACCTTTTACAAATTTCTTGGCATCCAATCCCTTCAAGATCGGGGGAGCTCCCGGTATTTGATCGATACGGGAGTTATAAGTCTCCACTTTTTTGTCATTATCCTCGATCCTTTTTTCCCGGACTCGATTCTCTTGGTAAGCTCTTCGAGCATCCTCATAATTGTGGGGTCAGTCCCTGAGCCATTTTCGTTTGACCTCTCTGGCGCCGGTTTAGTACGTCGAGTGTTTTCTGGTTCGGCTATACTCGGAGTTTTATTCTGACTCTAAAGTTGAGCGACGGCAATCTGCTGAGCTTGCAGCATCTCGAATATCACTTGGAGGTGACTCCCCCATCTCCTATACCTTGTGTTCCTTGGCCCCCAGATCGGGCTTCCCTGCGTACACTTCCTCCGGCGTCGCGCCTAAGTCTGCATTCAAGGCAATGTGTGAACTGACATCAACTGGTTCCACATTTAGCACTTCCCCAGGGTTTATCGGTGGTAAACCGACCCCTACATTGTTGTTTTCCCCATGAAATCCAAGACCTCCGTTGTCATGATCAGGTGCGTTTTGCGAGTTTGACATGTTTAATCCTGAGAATCAAAAATTCTTGACAAGAAAAAGTGTAAAATTACGTGTGTTATGAGAATCAATACTGAAATAATCACTATTATCTTTAGCCGCACATTGGGCGCCAAACTGTTTACCTCGAAAATACGAGTAACAATTAAATTTGATCTGTGGTTTTAAAGATATGTGATTTAGTTCAATACCAATTAATAATCAAGAAATGTAAGGTATAAATGAAAGAAACGAGTGAATCAAACCAGTGTTACTCAAGCAGTTTTGACCTCGAGATTAACCAAGAACAATAAAGTAAGAACATTGGAGAGGAAAGACAAGTCTGATGAGCAATGAGCCAGAAAAGTAAGATAGTATATTCTTTGTCAATGATTAGATGATGTTATAAATGATTGGGGTGCCCTTTATATAATAGGGAAACCCTAATAAGGTACATTTCTATTTACAATAAGGAATATTATTGGTACAGCTGCCTAACCGCCTAGTACGGATGATCTTGGGGACGTGGCAGGGGTCTCGCTCATTCTGTTAGAAATCCATAACGGCATTATTTCGAGGTCGAGCGTACTCGGCTTCGGTATTCATCGCACTCCGATCCTCGGGCCTTACATCCTATCTTCGAGCTCGAGTCCGATCCATCTAGCTCGAACTCGACCTTGCCCGAACTCGGGCTTATGGCGACCCCTCGAGCCTATAGACCGAAGGCACGCGATCTTGACCGTATACACAAAGGCACTCTATATTCTGAAGATTCTATTGGGAATGAGATCAAGGTGAATTCTAAGAATTTATTGTTATTATTTCCTTAAAAATAAAATAAAAAATATGAAGATCATATGTAGATCACTGGCCATTTAATCTAACTTTTAAGTACAAATCCTATATATAGGAGAACTACAGCTAACTTTAATTTCTTGAAGTTCTGACTTATAATAACGCACATCCTCTTTTGGTTTCTACATACATTAGGCAAACGCAGTAATTTTCTTTCATATTTTTTGTAAAAAACATTATGTGTAATCGGGTATTTTTTCCTTCTCGGTAATAAAAAATTATTTTATCTTATCTAACTTTTTCTCACTTGATGCATAATTTAACTCTTTTATCCCACTTGTCTTGTCTGAAGAAATTAGAAATCCCACTTGGCTTCTGTAAATAATTGGGCCACATAAAAAAAATACTAATGAAGTATAAAGTTTCAAAAATTGAGAAATGAAAAACGACATAATATAAAAGAAAAGATTATTTCTACTCTTTTCGAATCTTGTCTATATAGAATAGAAACACTTGGAAATCTAGGGTTCCATTTATATTAACGGATAAAATTCCGAGGTAAGTACTACTTACCTTTTTTTTTGGGTACATAAGAGATATGTATTACCGCCTAAATAAAATAACTACCATAGGTTCCCAATTAACATAGTTACCAGAAATTAAAAAAAAAAGGAAAAGAAAGCCAGTTAAGGAAATTGAAAAGGAAGAGGAAGAAAAACAAAGAAAGTGGATCAACATAAAAGGAAAATGAACCATGAGATATTATATCTATACCAAAAATATGTAGTCGCATTTTCCTTGTACGTGTTTGTGCATTAAACACTATTAGATCTTTCAATATTTTCCAACTTACCATATAATAAACTTGTTAATGAACTATAAAATTAAATACCCCCATTTCGATCCTTTCCGCATGCATAAAAATTTTGAGAAAAAAGTAAGTTTAAGAAAGAAGATCAGAAACTCAAGAAATCATGAATGGTTTTATGGATAATCAAAAACAACTTGGAGTTTTGATGTTTCCATGGTTGGGTTATGGTCATATCTCTCCCTTCTTAGAGTTAGCCAAAAAGCTCAGCCAAAGAAACTTCACTATTTACTTGTGTTCTACGCCAGTAAACCTAATCTCTGTTAAGAAAAAACTTAGCGAGGAATTTTCATCATCAATCCAATTCTTGGAACTTCATCTCAAAACTTTACCTAATCTTCCTCCTTGTCACCACACCACCAATGGTCTCCCACCTCATCTTATGAATACTCTCAGAGAAGCTTTTGACTTAGCCAGTCCTGATTTTACCCTAATCTTGAAAACCCTTAAGCCCGATTTATTGATTTATGATTTTCTCCAACCTTGGGCTCCAAAGGCTGCTGCTGAGTTAAAAATCCCTGCTGTTGAATTTATTACTAGTAGCTCTACAATGACTGCTTATATGTTGCATGATTTCAATAAGCCAGGTATAAAATTTCCCTTCTCGTCTATTTATTATCGTGACTATGAGATGTCTCGTATAAAGAAAGATGAATCATCTACGCCTGTGGAAAAGCTTGAGGAAGATAAAAAGCGAGTTAGAGATTGTTTTTACCTATCTAGTGATATTGTTTTGATAAAAAGTTTTAAGGAGATTGAGGGTAAGTATAATGATTATATCACTAAGTTAACTGGGAAAAAAGTTGTGCCAATTGGTCCATTAGTTCAAGAACCTACTCTTGATGACGGAGAATCAGAGTTAATAACATGGTTGAATGAAAAAGAGGAGAAATCCACAATTTTTGTATCTTTTGGAAGTGAATATTTTTTGTCTAAGGAAGATTTGTTGGAGATTGCTTATGGGTTGGAAAATAGTAAGGTGAATTTTATATGGCCTATAAGGTTCCAAAAAGGGGAAGATATAGAACTTGAAGAGGTATTACCTAAAGGGTTTTTCAATAGGGTTGGAAATAGGGCAAAAGTTTTTAAAGGATGGGCACCACAGGCAAAAATCTTGGAGCATTCAAGTATTGGCGGATTTGTGAGTCATTGTGGATGGAGTTCTGTAATGGAAAGCATGAAATACGGGGTTTCGATTATTGCTATGCCAATGCATATTGATCAACCAGTTAACTCTAGGCTTGTTGAAGAGGTTGGTATTGCTGTGGAAGTTGTGAGGGATAGTAATGGAAAGCTTCATAGAGAGGAAGTTGCAGCCATAATCAACCAAGTGGTGGTGGACAAGGAAGGTGAATTTGTGAGACAAAAGGCAAAGGATATGAAGGAAATGCTTCGTTCCAAAGGAGATGAAGAAATTGAAGAAGTAGCCAAAGAGTTGAAGAAGCTTTGTGCTAAGAAAACTCACAGTTCTATCCAATGTTTTTAGGTTGTTAGTAAAGATTTAGCTTCTAGTACTATTTTTTTTATTTAGATGCATATATATTATAGTAGCTAGGGTGTTTTTGTTGGCTTTATTGGTTTGGATCAAATCATACTAGCTAGTCTTGTTCACATGTTTTTTCATATGTTGGACATCCTACTATTATAAATTAATCTTTATTTCCTATTATATTTTAATTCCATGATCCAACAATGTGAAAGATTTTAATTATACCAATATACCGCATGTTCTTCAAGGCAACATTTCACTATAGTGTCATTGATATTGCTTGAATATAAATTAAGCATTAAAGATTTGTTAAAAAGAGAATCTTTTTGCTAATAGAACACTTTTTTTTTTTGGATTATTTATATTGGAAATGTCTCATACTCAATAAAATGAAAGATTCACTCCGTCTAATATTTTCTTGAGAATGTCAACTTTAGAGATGAGATAAATCTGCAGGGAACTAAACCTCATGAATCAGGTTAAAAGGGCAGCCCGGTGCACTAAGCTCCCGCTATGCGCTGGGTCCGGGGAAGGGAGTGAAATATAATACTCATATTTATGTAAACTTTAAAACCAACAAACAATTAAATAGAGAGCAATGATCCACTAGAAGAGATTTTAGGAAAAGTAGAAGGAAAATTATTCACATCTTAGCTAATTTCTAAGGCTTCTTAATGTCACTCAGAGAAGCCACTGCGATCGGACTTCTCACGTAATGAAGGCGATCAGTCCATAGCAACTCCCCGGGCACATATTCATCTTTTACTGCCTTAGCATCTTTAACTTCAATTGTCAACTTGAAGCTCTTCTCTTGTCCAACATGATCGAACATCAAGACGCTCGGCTCTATAGAAACTGAAAACATTCGTCGTGGCAGACGAACGTGGGCAGCGTATACGCCAGGGCTACCGACGTTTTTGAGCGTGCGAGTGATGGTGACAGGAGCTGAGGGAGAGATATTAGGAATTGTTATTGCAGGATTGTTGAAATCCAAGAGATTAAGACCATGCTTCTTGGGACAGTTATAAGTTGATCCTGTTCCTGAAAATTTTGTAATGTTCTTTTGGTTGTAACCAAGTGAACAAAGGAAGTCCAAGTAGTCATTCACTGTCAAGTCATAGACCAAGCCAGGATTCATGGCGCGGTTTGGGCGCATGTGTCCTGCACCATAATTAAATTGTGTCGCTTTGTCTTTCTCCGTTTCATCACGCATCGGATTACCAGTATTGTCTCTTGTTCTGGCTGTAAAAGGTGCATCTTAAGTTAGTGAAAGAAAATTGGACATGCAATTGCTAACTAGTAGAGTATCTAATAACCACGACGATCATCAGTAATGGTGGAGCCAAATAGCTGGAAAATTACATTATTTAGATAGGTAAAAATTAATTTTTAATGTATATATACTATGTTACTGAATCACCTTGACTCATTCGTGTATTTACTTCTTTAAATTTTGACACCCCTTAATGAAATCATGGCTTCGCTACTGATCGGGTGTCAGATTTAGCTCATGAAAATATAACTCGCCCAAGTTTGGACGAGTTGAGCTGGACATATATTTATTGGCGGATCAATTTGGGCATATCAGGTTAAGTGGCGTTATCAAGTAGAACATACCTGTAGTCATAATAGCGGATCTAATGGCGGCGGGACTCCAATCAGGATGGAGACTCTTGAGAAGGCCTACTACACCAGCAACATGGGGGCAAGACATTGAGGTTCCAGAAATCATGTTGAAGCTAGTCTTACGCTTATCGTAGTCTTCCTCTGTAGGATTTGCTGCTTCACTATATGCAGCTATGATATCCACTCCTGGTGCAGTAACATCAGGCTGCAGGAATAGACAGAGTCGGATCCAGAGTTTTAGATTTGACGGCTAATACTTTTGAATTATGAGTTCATAATATAATATTCGTTGAGATTATACTAAGTCTACACGTATATTTATGTTCCATGATGCAGTTAAGGCTGCATCGGCCTTCGGATCACAGGGATGTTTGCTCACAGAATGGATTAGGACATTGAGAATGAAGTTGCTAACCTTGAGAATCTGAGGAGTTACAGAATTAGGACCAGTAGAAGAGAATGAAGCCATGAATGGAGCCGGCTTTGTGCGCAACACTGTCTCAGGAGTTGTGATATACGCACGAGGATCTCTGTAACAATTATCGCGCAGTTAGAATTACAAGTACTTGAGGATATACATATATACATCGACACTGAAAGAAGGAAAAGAAAAAGAGATATATAGACAGACTTAGAAGAAGCGATGTAGTTAAAGACTTGAACGCCATCTGTATAATTGACATGTATCGCTGGAAGGACATGAGGGATGGCGAAAATTCCGCTGCCAGTAGTCTTATTGTTACAAAGGATCATTCCCACAGCACCAGCTAGAGCTGCCTGATGCCCTTTATCAATTAACGCGGTCTCTCCTCTGAGGCAGGCTAATATCTTGCCTTTCACCTTCTTTGGATCCAATGTTCCTTTCTTACACCTTATCCTGCATCAGATAATCATAATACATGTGATGATCACAACCAAAAACTAGTATAACAAGAATAAGCCAATAATACATAGCATATTACAGTAGTCCATTTCAGTTTATGTGAACCTATTTGACTGGACACGGACTTTAAGAAAGTAAGACAGACTTGTGAAACTGGTGATATTAAACATGTTATGACATTGTGTGACTATAAAAAATTCTCACCAGGGATAAAATAGGAAGTTTAAAGTTAAATTGCTTTCAAATTTAGAGAGTTGTCATTCTTCTCTGGACATACTAATAAGGAAATAGTGTCACATAAACTAAAATAAAGGGAGTAGTAATTAATTTCATCCTTACGCATCATGGGTCGATGCATTGGCAGCTTTAGCTTGTGCAGCACTGATTAATGGATAGAAATTTCCTTTGGGCGTGGTTGGTTTCGAAAGGCTTGTTCCCTTTAAGATCAATCCATTTTGCAGTTGAACACTGTTTTGTATATTGCGATCCAGGGTGCTTGCTGCTACTGTTATAATCCAGGGAGCAACATTTGTGACAGTTCCAGAATCAGGTCCATCATTACCAGCTGAGGCAACCACAACTATACCATTCTTGACAGCATGGAACGAACCAATGGCGAGCCCGTCCTCTAAGTAATCAGAAGGCGTTCCACCAAGCGACACAGATATCACATCAACCCCGTCGTGTATGGCTGTATCGAAGGCTTTGAGAATGTCGGCATCCATACATCCTGCACCATCAACAGGTGGCCAGCAAACTTTGTATGCAGCCACTCGGGCATGAGGAGAACCTCCCTTTGCTGTCCCATTCGCCACACCAAGTACACTCGCTCCGTGGACTATGTTTCCAGCAGCAGTTGATAAAGTATGAGAGCCATGACCATCATAGTCACGTACTGTGTTCATTGAAGCGCTTACATTTCCTCCGCTCGCAATGTAGCCTTTGTTGAAGTACCTTGCTCCAATAAGCTTTCTATAAATATATTATCACAGTAAAATTCTTGTTAGTATTTTTCTTGAAATCATACTAGTGGTGAAAGAGGGATTACAATATAAAGCATACTTATTGCAAGAAAAACCAGCAGTGGTGTTGTCATTTTGACAAATCCCTTTCCATCTTGAAGGAATTGGTCCGAACCCTTCATCACTAAAGCTCTCTGATTCAGGCCAAACACCTGTTGAAAGAGCACAATCATTTAAAACAATGTACTGCAGTAAAATGATGATATTGTTTACTGAGACAAATTAACAAGTTTAACTTCAATACAGGATGGTAACACTGTCAGGTCACCTAAAAGATTAATTAGCTGTCCGTAAAAAGTGGTACTAGTAACGTGAAAAATAAGGTTAATAAACTGACGTTGTATATAAGTTAAATCCAACTAACAATGGTGCAGCACAACAAATAGACTAGGAATAATAAAAAAGGGCAGACCCGTGCACTAAGCTCGGTCCGGGAAAGGCCGGACCAGGGTCTATGCAAAAGGCTATTTTCACGGCTCGAACCCGTGACCTCCTGGTCACATGGTGGTAACTTTAACAGTTACGTCAAGGCTCCCCTTCAGACTAGGAATCATGATCGATCAAAATAGGCCTTGGGGGGCGTAATTACCTGTATCAAGATTCGCGATAATAATGTCTTGGCCAAATCGAGCCTTCTTCCACAGGGAACTTGGATGAACGACGCCATTCTTTTCCAGCATCATGAATTCCCATGAATGAGTTGTGTGTAGTTTTCTAGCTTTATTCAAGAAAATAGAGATCACACTCGGATGCCCTGCATTATATTTTTATCACAAACTTAGCATGCCTACAACAACAACACAAAGCAATCCCACTAGTAGGGTCTGGGGAGGTTAGTGTGTACGCAGACCTTAACTATACCCTGAGGGGTAGAGAGGCAGTTTCTGACTCAAGAAGACGAAAAGAGACAGTATATAAGTACCATCGATAAAAACCATAGAAAAAAAACATCATAAGAACCAGAAAATAGACGGAAAACAAATCAATAACCAGAAGATAAAGTCCGGCCTAAAACATCAATCATATATTAATATTACTAGATTAGATTAGTGTTTCAGAGTTCAGAATATAGTATACATACGCTGAATCTCCTCCACTTGGTCATCTTCAAGGACAGCAGCAAAACCATTTATGTGTCTTTTATATGAGTAGAAGATGGCATCCTTAGCCTTCTCTTTACTGCAATATTTTCTTATACTATCAGCGTATAGAACTTAAACCGAAGAAAAAATAGAATTAGAATAACAAGGATGATACACGAATAAATGACAATATGTAGCACTATAAATACCTTCCCAAAAACGAACCAAGAAACTCATGATGAGAATCTACTACACTATGAAGATCAGCAGATGTTACTCCTGGACCATGAGAGTGCTCTCCCAAGTACACTATGTACGTCTGTTTATTAATCCAAAAATCAACCACAAAAAAATATGAAAAATAAATCGGATAAAATTAATTGGAAAGAATAAAAGCTAATGGTTATATACAGAGGCGAATCCAGGATGTAATAATAGGTTCACGTTTAGATACTTACTATTGAATACGTCACACGTTTGAAATTATAGGTTCAACACTTAATATTTATGTTCCTCTAAATACAGTCAAACCTCTCTACAACAGCCTCGTTTGTTCTGGATATTTTTGGATATTATAACGAATTGCCGTTATAGAGAACATATTCTATAACACAACATAAAATTTGGTCCAGAAAAATTTTGGCTTTTATAGTGAAGTGTTTTTATATAAAGACTGTATACATAAAAAGTCGACTAGTGGTGCGCATTGCATGCTACAAGTTTTCTGAGTTTTTTGGCCCTGCAAGCTACAAGTTTTTTTGAGTTTTTCAACCAATAGCCAATGACGAAGTCAGGATTTTTATTTAGAGTGTTCAAGATTTTATTTGAATAACAAAAGTATAAAAAATTTCGGCGAAAGGTAAATAACTTACATTCTTGACTGCAAGAGCTGGTGTTAATGATACACAAAAAAGAATTAGGAACAATGTTAGATAATTTGACAATTTGGACGATAACATTCTGCTTCTTCGATGCAAAATTAAATCTTCGTTGGTAATAATCGCAAAAAAATGATAAAAAGGAAGAAGAAAAAGTATGCAACTTCTAAAGAGAATATATATAAATATATACTGTATTAAATAGTGGCTTACATCTATAAGGAGTCTAAGAAGATTAAGAATTTTTATGTTATTAGGAGACGGTAAACGGCAAAGTGAAACCAATTCAAATCAAGAGTCGTCCTTTGTAATAGCTAGCTAAGTACTTAACGGACAATAATTACTATATCATATTATCTAATTATACAATTATTGATAAAGGGCAGCCTGGTGCACTAAGCTCCCGCTATGGGCGGGGTTCGGGGAAGAGCCGGACCACAAGGGTCTATTGACCGCAGCCTTACCCTGTATTTCTGCAAGAGGTTGTCTCCACGGCTCGAACCCGTGACCTCCTGGTCGCATAGCAGCAACTTTACCAGTTACACCAAGGCTCCCCTTTAATGACAATTTATGACAATGTCAACGTTAAATTACTAATTACTTCTCATCTAATGGATGAATTCTACAATACCACTTGTTTAGTTCAACATTTTTATGGTAACATGCCATATTGTTTCAGATTCTACTATGAAAACCTCCCCCATCCTAATGTTAGCCGATTTAAGCAAATGTTCATTTTTTTTAAGGTGAAAACAGCACGGGCTAGTCAGTTTTTGGACTGGTAATTCAAACATAGCCAGCGTTTGCAAAGTCATTGAAAATAAGCCACTATTTTGCTGCAACACGGAAAGTTACAGCATAATACACTGGAGATTGGTCCACCTGTGTATGAACTTCCAGCATAATATGTTGGAACTCCAGCACACGGAAAGTTCCGACATCATATACTAGAGATTGGAGCAGTTGTGTATGAACTTCCAGTATATTATGCCAGAACACCAGTATATTATGTTGGAACTCCAGTATATTATGCTAGAACTCCAGTATATTATCTGGAGTTCACATGTGAAAAATTCGAACTCCAGTATATTATGCTGGAATATTTTTCGGATTTTGAAAGTGTTTTCGTTCAGATCTATCTTTACATGAAAAGTGGCTACATTTCGATTACTTTTAAAACTGTAGCTATTCATCAATTACCGCTTGTAAATCTGGCTATTTTTGAATTTTTCCCTTTTTTTAGGCTACTGTTGAGATTCTGTCCTTAGTTTATAAAGTTGTGCAAATATAGCCATAGGAAAATTATCCTTTCCGGACAACTTTAGACTCGACTCTAATTTAGTTTGCTCAAAAAATGACAACTTACATAATTTTAGACTGCAATCTAATATTTTCTCATTAGATTTTCAATTTGCTGAAGGGGAGCCTTAGCTAATTAGTAAAGTTATTGTCAGGTGTCCAGGATGCCACGGTTTGAGCCGTGCAAATAGTCTTTTGTAGAAATGTAGGGTAAGGCTGCATACAATAGACTCTTTGTCGTTCAAGCCTTCTCCGGACCCCGCGTACAATGAGAGCTTAGTACACAGGGCTGTTTTTTTAGATTTTTAATTTGCTCAAAAAAAGATTTTAAATCATACTTAATTTAAAAGGCCCGTCAATTACAAGAAAAATAAAAATAAAGTAATTTACTAAATAACTGATAAAAAAGAGACAACTAGCAAACATTACGCCTTTTAAGTATTACCACAATCAACTACACCATCATCAACCATTTTTATCACCAATTACCTCTTGTTGCTAGCCTCCACCATTAGTAGCCACCTTACAATACCATCCACCTTCACCCTTGAACACCACCAACAACCAAAGGTGGAGCTAGTTTATTAGGAGCGGGATAGATTGAACCCAGCTATTTTTTTCTTAAATATTATATTTGTACTAAAAAATTCATTAAATATATCAAAATTTATAATTACGAACCCAATAACTAACACAAGCTATGTATTCTGTGACAAATGCAGAACGTATAAGTTTTAAATTCTGACACCGCCTCTGCCAACAACTATTTCCACAATCAACCATCACTGTATAACCATTACTTCTAGCCATCACTGTATGACCACCAGCCACCATTATACAATTACTATCGCCGATAATCACATACACATTCAAATGCTTAGAAATAATCAGTCTTAATGTAAAGCCCCGAAATTTTTTTGCTAAGTATTATGTTCTCGCTCAAGTTTTAAGTTGGACAAAAAGATGTGTGAAAAGTTATAAAGACATAAAATATATAAATCTTATGTATAGAAGGTTGAATGGATGGTTTTAAGAGGAGAGGAGTAAATTGGAATCCATTGGAGTTGATTAGTGGATGAAAATGACCTTAGCCGTACACGACCTAAGTTTCAACGATCATATCTACCAATATATAATGAATTGAGATTTGAGTTATATGACAAAAGAAAGTCCTTGAAGTCTAGTTTCTAACACTTCAAACCGTTCGTCGTTTTGATATTCCTATAAAAAGTTATAGGCGTTTTACTGAAGACTATCATGTCAGCAAAATGGGCCGCATTTTGGGGCCAAGGAGGCTGCCAGGCGCGAATCAAAACACCAAAGTCAGAAGTAAAATTTTTGGGGTGTTTTGGGTGGCGCTGGGCGCGGACCGTGACGCCGAAGGCGTGAAATTGAAATAAAAGGGACGGGAAGAGAGAAAATAGCCTCATTCTTTAAAGATTAAACCCTCCCCCCTCTCATCCTCAAGTCATCCAAGGGTTTTCATACTACCTAAGGTGACTTTTCAATGCGATTAGCGTTAGAATACTACTTCCAAACATCAATTCTAACAATATTCCATCTCAAAATTGCTAGATTCTCAACAAGAACTCAAGAACAAGGTCTCTCCGCTAACCTAGGGGTTTGTGATTCAAGGTAAGTTTCGTAATTGCTTTCAACCACAATTGTTAGAGAGATTTATGGTTTATATTTGTTCCTAAAAACTACTACAGAAACTTAGATTAACGATAACCCTAGAAGGAGAGAAGCATCAAACCTAGGGTTTCCATATTTTAGAAATCTTGGAACTTCTGGTATTGATTTTTAAATTAACTATGTATAGATTTGTTTGGTGAGTTGAATCCATTGGATTGGAGCAAACGAAGGTATTCAAAAGAAAGGAATCAAGGTGAGTAGAGACAATGCTTTTACTAAAGTTGTCTTCTCACAAAGATCATGCCATAAGTTATTGTTAGATTGTATAGGGTGTTAATGTGGGCTCTGAATGGAACGAGTGGACTCACATTATCCATTAGAATCGTAGAAAAGATCTTAGATGATTATCATGGTTAATAGCTCAAGATAGTCTGTTGTTCCATAAATTATGTCTCATGCATTCATGACTTGTATATGTTTCTTTAATGTATAGACTATATTGAAAACTTTTTTTTACAAGATTTTTGGAAACTGTTTTGATGAGAACTATGAAGATATATCATTGTTTTAAATTTTGTGATTCAAAAATTACTCAGAAGAATATTTTGGGAGTTTCCTTAGATCTCTAAGAATGGTTCATAGCCTATAGTGGTTTATATTACCCCGAAACTACTCGTGCCAGAGTAGGAGATTGGTGTATCGTTGGTCCGGGCACTATGATAGAAGTGCCTAGTAAGGCACAAGAACGCGAGCATGCAAGAACCTTGAACTGTGAGGCACCACAGGAATGGGGTCCATGCGATCAGGCTGGGATCGTCCACCATACCGATCATATGGTAACTGATCACGCCCAACTATGCCTTATAAAAAGGACTAAGCGGTTGTTGCAAATATAATCCGATTTACAAGTCCGGAGTCGAATCCCACAGAGAACTAAGGCTTAGCTACAACTGTTCAATATTGCTAAGAAGACAAGCTTGAATAATTCCTAACTTATAGATATTAACATTCTCATGTTTAACTAATTTACTAACAAACTAAAATAGTAAATTAACAACTAAAGATACAAAGGGTTAGAGACAAGATTAAGGACGTCTAGAGTTATGATTTCCTCAATTGTCGGAATCCTTCCCGCTACGTTTTTTATAAATTCACCTAAGTATTCTCTACCGATCATGAGCGCTCAGACTGTTGTAACTCTCTCCCGAGTAATTACCATAATTTACTAGACATATTCTCCCGAATTACGCTAGCTGGCATTAAGTACGGCTCACTCAGATCGCACCCAAGATTTCGTTATCCCTAATCCCACCTTTAAACCCTCCGTATTGATCCCTCATATACGTTTGGAGTGATGTTGTTCAACAACTATCTAAATATGCATTCTCTCCCGAGTAATACACACTAAATAGGCACAGTCGATTGAGATCTCTTCAACCGACCACAATAAGAACATAGTTGAACAAATAGAGAAAATACTACAGCAAATCTATATTAACATAACAGGAAAATCATCCTCCAATAGGTTCCATCAAAACCCTAGATAACAAATTAGCTATTCATAATAGTATGCATAACGACAATACTAGAATTCATAACCAATAATAGAATAGAAAGAAGGAATTGAAAAACTCGTAGAAGAATTCTCCGCCTCGCTCCTAGTGTGTTCTTGCCTCCGTAGGTCTCAAGTGTGTCCAAACTCGATCTCCCTCTCCGTCTGTCTCTAAAAAAAACTCTCAAAGTGGCATTTTTTGGTCTATTTATATGTTTGGGACAAGCCCTAAACGTGTAGGTCAACTCCTAGTCAAACCGGGAAACAATAAAAACCTTCAAAACTTGGACCGGGCCTGGCCTTAGGCCTGGCGTCGCCTGGATAACGCCAGCCTAGGCCTGGCCTTAAGCTGGCCTCGCCTGGATAAAGCCTGGTTAGGCCAGGCTTTAAGCTGGCCTCACGTGGATAAAGCCTGGTCGAGCTGGCTTTTGCCTGGCTTCTCCTTTTCACCATTCTCGAGCGCACTTTCAATGTTTAAGCATCCCTTTAACTCTACTTTCATTTCCGATGCACCTACACATAAAATAGCCTCCATTACGCTCAAGCAAAGTGTATTTTAACATTAAAGCATGTAAAACGCAAAGCATATTGTTGA